GTAGGCAAACTAGCTCTCATCTTTGTGAGCACTAGCATAGTTGACCCAGATAGAAACACATCCTCCCCTCATGATAATTGTAGGCGCACTAACTCCCCCGTGAAGAATGAGCACGTAGACGCGTACCCCCTTTTAAACCCTGTTTATGAGCGCAGCCCCTCCCCTGTGAAGAATGAGCATGTAGACGCGCACCCCATTTTAAAATCCGTTTATGAGCGCACCCCCTCCCCTGTGAAAAATAAGCACGTAGACGCGTACCCCCCTTTTAAACCCTGTTTATGAGCGCAGCCCCTCCCCTGTGAAGAATGAGCATGTAGACGCGTACCCCCTTTTAAATCCTGTTCATGAGTGCACCCTCTCCGCTGTGAAGAATGAGCATGTAGACGCGTACCCCCTTTTAAACCCTGTTTATGAGCGCACATAAATAATTCCCTTGCAATGTTTTTGTTTTGACAGTGCACCCCATTCCCTGTGAAGACTATATTTTGATGCAACTCCTTCCTCTTAAACTCCTGCGCGCAAGCTAACAATAACAAAAGAACATAGACTTACGTCTTTCAAGCGGATCCTTGCTCATATGATAATCAATCCAGTCAATGAACGAGCTGACCCTGGCGAAAACAGAATAAGACTTTCCACTACAATCGTTATCTCCCCAACTGACGACTCCCCTCAAGAACCAGCGCCCGCCATCCTCTTGGCAAACAAATGGTCCGCCACYGTCTCCATGACAACCGCTGATGGATCTGTTGCCTCCATACCCAGCACACAGCATGGTGAGTTTGTCTACTTCGCGAATAAGTCCGTTGACGGCTGCACATTGTTTGTGGGATACTAGAGGTAACTTGGTCTGCTGTAGTATTGTGGCATGAGAACCTTGATATTTTGTCATACCCCAACCTGAAAAAACACACCAAAACTAAGAGTGGAATCATTCACTAATTGATTGTTAACTTTCGGTCCCTTTTCAGTAAACATTAGATCCTTTTCGCTAATACGTCGCCCCGCGCAATTACCACAGAGGCTGTGGATTCCATCATCTGGCATCCTAAACTCTAACTTCGTAAAGGGCTCAAACGTTTGGCATCAGTTAATTAATAATTATTTTTTTAACCTCCAAGGAACGGGCTAATCCTCTCAACTTTAGTTAGTAGCTTTTGGGAATGTTTTTAATAGAAACCATAAGCATTTTGTATATAAAGCAAACGAGCGCTGAGTGTGTTGTTTTTCAGCCCTAGCTGTTCTCTGTTAACGTAAAACTGGGCTCACAAAGGATCATACTACGCAATACGAACCAGTTACAAAGCACTTTCGTCCCGTCTTAACCTGTTGGTATAGTTTTGGTAAGCAAGCAGGAAAGACCTTCGGGTTAATAATGGCCGGGGCTGCTAGCTTCATGATAGCGATGTCATAGCCATAGCTGTTGGTCAAGAATCTACTATGAATATGAATAATCGATACTGGTAGTTCCATCTCTCCTTGCTCTTTCCTGGATCTGTCATGCTCTCCTGAAGCAAAGATATATCATCGTCAGTTACGCGCAAAAATATTATAGTCTCCTTAACAAAATGAAGTAAGGACAACGACAACGACAACGACAACGACAACGACAACGACAACGACAACGACAACGACAACGACAACGACAACGACAACGACAACGACAACGACAANGACAACGACAACGACAACGACAACGACAACGACAACGACAACGACAACGACAACGACAACGACAACGACAACGACAACGACAACGACAACGACAAGAAAGGATTACTACATACCCAGCCTGATCTTGTAGTTCTTTGGATCGATGTTTTGAAAGACACAATGTGCAGCCGTCACAATCCACCATTTATCAATCAAGGCTCCCCCGCATCTGTGAATAAACTTGTTTTCTTTCGTGTTTAACATCAAGATTTCAGCTTGCCAAGGCCACTCGTTTGGAAGAGCTGTCGTTCCACCGATAATACGTGACTGTGATGGCTTAATTCCACATTCGTCAGAAGCTGCACGTAAATCAAAATAAACAGATGAACCACTAATTCTCAGCGATTTAGTGAGTTAGGTTCATAGGCAGTTTAAAACATTTTAGTATTTTCCTGCGCAAGCCAACTTTGAATTTGATATCGTGACAACGCGAGCTCTGGCCAACTTTCAATATTCTGGCTGAGTGATCAAAGCACAAAACAATCTGAGGACTAAGTGGACTAAGGGGACTAAGGGGACTAAGTGTTTGGAACACAGCTATTTGGCAATTCTTAAGCTTTTCTCAAGCTTCCCGAATTTTTTTCAACCTGTACACACATCCAACCTGGATGGCTTTATTGAACTGTTGACTGAATTTTTCTTGTAGGAGTTAGGGATTTTTCTCTGGTTTTTGCAGTTAATATTCACCACTTTTCATACATCGGTTTACTGCTCTAATAGAGGCTAGCTTTGCATCATCACGTGATGGCAGCCATGACAAGAGGCAGGAACAATTGAATCTGGTCTAATCTAAYTCACCTGAAAAAGAATTCAGTTTCCCAAGGGAAATGGCTGCCATCACGTGATGATGCAAAGCCTCTATACTGAGTATTTAACCGATTTGAGGCTGCAAGTTCAAAATTGCCTAAACCTTTGAAAACTACCTCGAAGCCTCGAATTAATGCTTAGTGTGTGACCAGTGAACCGATGTGTTAAAATGGTGAATTACGCATTTTTGATAATGGAGCTAGGGTTGACATGGGAGGCATGATCGATTTAAGGCAGGAATAATGTCATGTTGTTGCACGAAAATAGGTTTGATTTCGAGAAGCCGTCTTTATCAAAGCAGGAGGTGAAGATGGTGAATGGGTAGCCAGATTTTTTCTCAGTCTAAAGTAGCATGCCACTTCTTCCCAGACCCCTTCAACCCGCCTCCCCGCGTCTTCTTGGCAGAGTCTGCTGACCAACAAAGGTAAAGTATTGTAGTCAATTTTGCAAAAAGTTGAAGGAAAAGTTAAGCAAGTTTGAAATAGCTAGTTCTATTGAGAACACCCTTACTAAGGCTTCTTAGATAAGTCAATGAATCGCATTACATCAGTTTCGCATTCGATGCACACGGATACTGATGCTCTTATATACCACAAACTCATTTGTGCAGGCTTGTGCAGCAATTTAAGTCAGCTATTCAAAATTAGTTGCACGTCATACACGTCAATAAGTCATCGTCTGATTTGTTACTGTCACGCATTCCCAACTAAGTCGTCACTTTGTGCCTTAGTCCATATGAATACCTAACCTAAGAAAAGTCAGCCACCTCTCTTAATAAGCAATTATTGGACGAGGTTGAGCAAAATATCTTGAGTTGCTGGTGGTGAACAAGGAATTTTTTGCCAGATGTCGAAGGAAGATTGCTTGCTCGCCACTAGCAAATCACGATGTTTTGATATAACCGAGTTCATTAATTCTATCATTCAATTTTTGTTTTCCCATTTTCTTCTTGTGTGTGTTGTTGTTGTTGTTGTTGTTGTTGTTATTTTTTTTTTTTTTACAGGGAAGCGAGCCATGTTCAGTGACAAATGCATCGTTACTGTACATGAGCAGACTGTTATTCGCAGCAAAATGGCTGTGCATCGTAATGCGCATGAGCAGAATATTATGTCAGGTAGGCAATCTCGTACCCAGAGCCTGCGTAATCATTTTTTTGCGCATGAGCAATTTTCCGGAAGTGAAACATAATCAATGAAAATCATGCTTTCAAACAGATTTCTGCATTTACTTCCGATCAAAGTAAAAATTAGAAATCGAAAACGATTTTTTATTTTTGGCAAGTCTTTGAACGCATGCACTCTTATACCGGAAGTCCAAGAAATCCTGGTCTCAAAAAATCACAGGTAGCCCAAGCTTGGTTTCTATGGTGTCATGTTATAAGGAAATGTATGGGGATTCATCAAAAATGTCAATGAGATCATTGAAACGTGAAATAAAGCTTCGAAATTTTATCCGATCATTGAGAAATAGCACTTCTTTCGCTCTGCGTGATTATTTTTTAAATTTTATCCCGTTTTAAGGATTTTTCCCCCACCAGTAAGAAAAAATGCTGGTGGGGGAAAAAAATCACTTAAAACGGGCTAAATTCAAAAAATAACCACACAGAGCGAAAGACGTGCTATTTCTCAATGATCGGRTAAAATTTCGAGGCTTTATTTTACGTTTCAATGATTTTATTGAAATTTTTGATGCATACCCATACATTTCCTCATAACATGACACCATAGAAACCAAGCTTGKGCTACCTGTGAAAAAATGGATTATGACAGAGCCCTTGTCCTTCGCCGCAGGCCAGGTGAAACGCAGGCTCTGGGTACGAAATTAGTCAGGTGCGCAGTTATTCACAGTTATCTCGGCCAATCAAAACAAAGGAAAAAAGAATTTGAATGATAATGCTAATTGTCACTAGGATGCTAATCAAATCTATTCATTACTGGTAACAAATGCAAATAAAACAAGTGATTAACTTGTCTGCTTTGTGTAAAAACGAATAATTTTTAGCGTCTTATTCTATAATATTTATAGATATCTAGAAAACCTTTCACCATTTTCAGGAGTCTGCTTCAAATATGGCGACGTATAACTTTTATGAACTAAAATTAAATTAAATTAAGATGAAATATAATTTACAAATTTATAATAAACTTTCTTACGAAATATTTTAGATTAATTAACGTATTACCTTCGCTTGCAATATTCTCGTAAACAAAGTTCGATCCATCTTTTCCAACACCGCTAACACAACGAATCGAAAAACCCTCCCTATCAAACTCTACATCTTCGCCGCTCCAGCACTCTCCATAAAACTGAATACCAAAATATCTATATCCTTTTTGACGAGATAACTCCGAACAAGATTCAATAATCTCTTCAAAATTGGTCCAGTCGGTAATTTCGGAACGAAAGTTTGCTAGCAATTTAGGAAATAAGTGACGCGTTGAGTCTGGCCCACCGCTATAATAAAGATAGGAAAGAAAAAATGAAATAATGAGAAATAGGAAACAGCTTTATTTTCGAACGACTTTTTCATGTTTCTTCGCCGGACCTCTGCGACTTTTAGAAATTGGTGTTTGGGGATTTTGGTTTTCGTATCATTAATTCATTAATATCAGACCGTTAGAAATTTGATTGGCGCCACACGAGAAAAAGTACCGCGCCCGGAATATTTGGAGTCGCATGAGTGGAAGCATGAAAAGCGGTTTTACAGCCAAAAATTGTGAGAAAAAAAGTTGATATGGTCCAAAAACAGCGAAAGTTTGATAGTTGGCAGAAGACGAAGACAAAAATGTAATTGAACTTCAATCTCAAACTTCAATAATTTTTCAATTAACTATAATGTGAAACAAAAAGAAAAACTCTTACCTGAAGATAAGAAGAAAGCAGCAATTATGGTCAGTAAACCAAAGACCAAGCGTAAAAAAGTCATATCTTTAAATGAGATGCTCTCTTAGAATAACCAAGTATATGAAAGTAAACTCAAATGTCGTTAAGTCCGCTTTGATCTTTCTTAAATACGTTGAGTCATCCGTCATTGTTTAATCAGGATTTTTCATTGCGAAAATTAATCTTTGATTGTGTGTCAAAACAATACTTTGTTTGGTTCTCTTTACTTTGCAAAGTACATTAAGACTCTGATTCCCTCATCATTAAATACACAACTACAATACACTTAATCAATAAAACGGAATTGGAATTAGAAATATAATGTCTCATCTATGTTTTACAAGTTATAAAATACTTCCCGTCAAAATAAATTCCCTTTATTTTGTCAATATCGATTATTTGCGAGAGCGATTTTTATAAGGCTCTTTGAGTGACCCATACAAAGTTTACTTAAAACTTAAAAGTTCGAAGTGTTTTTAATTTTGTACTCAAAGCTCACTAACGGTCACCGTACTGAAACAGCTCTCACAGGATTGTATGATCCAGGAAAGCAGTTTTTGAACGAGTGGAAGGAAAAAAATAAAGCAGCTTTTCTCTTTAAAAATCCCTTACTTGAATTATAATTAAAGATAAGCTAAGAAAATTTTAAATTTAATTCTTTAGAAAAAGAAATTCGTTTGTTTTGACTTTGCATATCAAACTTAAATTTTATTGACGCCATCTTGTTTATTTTTTGCATGATTAGCATACAAGACTTCAAACTACAAACAAACAAACTTCAAAAATCGTCAGAGAATATTATTAAAGGAAAAAACCAAGAAAATTTAGTCTATAGAGTCATAGTTATAGAAATAATAGTTAGAGAATTATAAAAATAAAAAAATAAAAAACGTTTTCAAATTCCAGTTTACGACTACTACATCGCTTTTAGATTTTTATAAGTCAGTATGACATGGATGTTTTCTTTTTATTCGTGGTATTTTTTGGCTAAAGCTTGAATTTTCACTTGCGCTAATGAGTATATTAAAATTCTAAAGATAAAAACTTGGATAAAGATTGGCCGATAATAAAGAAAGAACCGTTCTTTCAATCTGAGATTGATGAAGGAACATCTAGTTCGATATGACACAAACACCGCAAGTCAACAGTGCATTGTAAGGGGTTTTTATTGCAACCTTTTAAGTGTCATTTTGTTTGACATATTGAACAAACTTTTGAGTTTTATAACCCTATAACGAAATTATCAGCACAAAAGCTGACGTCGGTTGTGATATCATTTGAAGAGAGTTTTAATATCCGTTGATTATGTTATTTTAGTGTGAGCATACGTTTGAAACGTTAAATCAGTAGATTAAGACCGAAGAATATTGTTGGAGTAAACTTAGATAGAGATAAAGAAAGCGTGATGAAACCGGGGAAAAACAAACGATAAAGGAATAACAACCGACGATAGAGGACAAAGAAGAAGAAGAAGAAGAAGAAGAAGAAGAAGAAGAAGAAGAAGAA